TCCTTAGCACTGAGGTTGTTTGGAATTGCTGGTGCTTGGCGATCATGAAAAGCAGAAAGACTTTTCATTGGTTTCATTATTGTTTTAAAATACCTGAGCTACTCTCTTATTGTCTGCAGGGGGCAGGGAGAGAAATCCCTCCCACCTCTCCCACCTCCATGAGAATGACCTGGCAGAGGCTCTTGAAGTACAAGCTTATGTGGCAATTAATATCATGGAGAGGTTTGAGGGAAGGGTTGGAGTGTGAATAAAAAAACAAGATTCAAGGTTTATTTTAGATTGACATTTATTTTCAGTATTGAGAGGAAAAAAGCATGGCTATTGATGAGAATATTGTAGATATAAGGAGACTGAGCACTGTATACTAGGAGTGAACTTGTCTTAATTCAAGTGGAGGAGGGAGGGCATGCCCTAGGAAGTGATGCATAAGCCAGTTGCAGACTTTCCCACAAGAACCAATGATTATGTAGATAAGAAGTATCAAAGGCAACTCCTAATATTTGAAACCTAAGTGATGACCATTTCATAGTAATGAATAGAGTTGCAAATATAAAAATAGTGCGAGGCGCCACCCATATACCCTTTAGTTAGATTTGCCTGTTGTTAACATTTTACCCCATTTGCTTTGTCACTTCACAAGAACGCTTGTGATTAAAGTAGAAAGCTCATAGAAAATATATTCCCAAGTTGAGCTGCTAACTTGATTTCTTTTCCTAATAAACAGTTATTTATTGGCTGCAATTCGCTGAGTGCTAGAGCTAGAAAGTACCTTAGGAGATAATCTGATTTGACTCCCTTAAAGAGGGTAAATGTTGACCTATCCAGGATAGCTGGGTTTTGATTTCTAAACCTCTATAGCCTCTTCCAGAGTCTTATTGCCCTGACAGGTAGGAGTTATAATTCCTGTCTGCCGGTTGCTTTGGGGCTTATACATTTTCATTTGATCTCAACACAGGCATGGAAATATGCTTCCTTAGAGCTTCCTGGAATCTCGCTTGCGTTCATTTAAGCTCACACCTCCTTAATCTCTAGTACTTCGTATAGAAAACAACTGGATAACATCCTTTTTAAGAACTCTTAACTTATTCTGTAATATATACCTCGTTAATGTTCCTTGGGTGAGACTATCTTTATATCTGTAGGATTTGTACCTAATAATTTCTGTGTCTTCAGTCAATTCACAAGGCCTTAGCTTGGTTGATCTTTCAAGATTCTGGGTTTTTCATACCCTTTTAAAGTGTGGTGAGTAAAGGTCAGAAGAGTCTGACTAATGTTGAATAACAACAGTGGTAATTTATGTATAAATTATTTACAAAATGCTTTTCGTACATAGTTATATACATAGTTATTTGATCCATAGAGCAGGACTTGTAGTACCCCTATTTCAGGGATGAAAAAACCTGAGCTACGGAAGCTTAAGTGACTAGCCCGGTGCCCTATAAACTAGGCTGTGCTGAAAATGGGGTGCTTCTGACCCTAAATCCATATACCCTTAACCCAGATTCACCTATTCTACTGCATCTCAGGTCCTTACATATCATGTATTTTTAAATGTACTTAGAATCACTTTAACTTTCTCATTTCTTCTCCCCTTTCACTAGCCTAACCTGCTATTAAGGAAATAAAGTGTT